CATTTAGAAAAATATGGTAATATAATAACTATCAGATCAATATAACATAACTATCAATTTATATTTTTGATTTTCCTTCGAAATAATTAATTTTTATGTAGAAAAATATGAAATATAAATTTAGAATTTTTTATTAATAATTTTTTTACTTATTTAAAATTTATTTGGGTAATTCCACATCAAATCACCCAGTCCATTGAACCATGTGTCTTCTTTTTGTTTTATATTTTGACACATTATTCCTAATTATAAAAAAAAATTGCATGCAAAATTTCAGCCAAAAATGTTGAGCGGTTGACAAGATACTGCGATTTTAATATTGACCTGGTTTCCCAAAATGACCCGGTTTACATAACATTCTAAAAATATCTTTTTCTTAAAAAAATAAGAAATAAAAATGGCAAAAATATAAAAATAAACATATATAATATTTTTTTGATGCTGAATTCAATAAATGTACTTAAAATGCTGAAATATAAAAGGAACAAGCTTAAAAGTTAATAAAACAACAAGTTTCTATAAACCAACTTTGGGGCCCAATATCTCAAAACACCCCCGTCAAATTTTTTTTTTTTTTTGCTGGTAATATATTCAGCTGCTTATAATCTTACTAGGCACAAAATATCTAACTGGAAAAACAACTGAAACATATAAAACTTTAATATCTAAGATGTATTACTTTTTCAAAAAATTCCCAAAAAATGTTTGTAAATAAAATAAAAATAAGTTAATCGTAATTTAAAAATGTATTTAAATATACAAGATTTTTCAAGATGCAAGTTATTTTGACTGTGTTTGTAATAGTTCACAATATTGTTCCCATTTTACTTGTACTTCTTCTATTTCAACATTAGTAGGCAAATAAAATATCTTTAAACGCGAAAAAATTTAAAGCTAAATAAATTACATTTAAAACAAATATTTTCGAAACATCGCTCTTTTATAATTTTTTTAATAAAATTAAGCAATGTTTTTTATAGAAACATCAACTTTTTATAGAAACATACAACCGTCAACTTAAAAGATTGTTTAAAAGGAAAACAAATATTCTTTATTTAACTAAGTTTACAAGTTTTAGTTTTACTTAAGCTTAATTTATTTTATAAATAAAAAAGTTAATTTTTTCAATACCTATTTTATGTTTCGCGTAGTTTGAAAAGTTTAACATATTTAAAGCGATTCTTCTTAGTAAGATAAACAAATGAAATAATTAAATCATTGAATTACTATAAGAATTAAATTATCAAGATAGAAATCAACTAAAAAAGTTAAAAATACTTAATGACCAGGAAGCGAAACTGCTTCACAATATCGCTGATGATATTTAGTGAGTGGGTTTTTAAATTTTAATTAGTGTTTAAAGCAGAAAAAAGTATAACGAGTTTTAAGAATGGCAACTTAAGCAAAAATAATTAGAGTTAGTAAATCAATATCTAGAAATTTTTCTTTATATCTAATTATTTGTTATATATATTTGTGTTCTGTCGTGACCTCAGGCGCGATGCTTGTTCATCCGCGAGTTACTTTGTATGCGTTGTTTGTGTTTAGTAACCAGAAACTTCTTATATGTTTGTTACATAATTAGTTTTATTAACTTTAACGATTAAAACTTCATTAAAAACACAATTATTTTTGTAAGTCTTTGTTTAAATCATAAAAATTGCTTTAAAAGATACATTACGATAAAAAATAAATACACAAAATTACATTTACATAAAGAATACAATCTCTTTTAAAATAAAAAATAAGAATATACTAATAAAATCTATGATTTATAATAAACTTTGAAAATTTTAACAATTTAACTAATATATATTTAAAACATTTATTTTCGTAAACAAATAATATAAATTCTTAAAACAATGCTAAAAATCTCAAAACGTAACAAATCGTGAATAATACAATTTCTAAAACATTTTAACAGAATACTCTAGAACTTTATTTCACTTAATCAGCGTATTTTTTTAACTAATAGAATTAGTTTGTTCGTTAATTTGGCGGGTTTTTAGTGTTCGCAAACATTCTTTTTATTCTTTCGCACAAAGATGTTTTGAGAACATTCAAGTTTTTTATGTTTCCATGTATGTCCGTAAAACAAAAATTTTTTGTTTCGTACATAAACTTAAATGTTCTCAAAACGACTAAAAAACCTGGCCAGTTTTACGCAACTAAATATTATTTCCGTGGTCAGTATTCGAGAGCGATCGCTCCCGCTTCCCGACCAAGCCTGCTTCAGATGCGAGAATTTGGTTTCTGTATGGTTGTTTTAAACTTTCTTGTGCTGTTAACCTTTTTACAGTGCCGCCAATCCCATCGCATGGTGACTTTCCGTGTGACATGGCAAAAAAATTCAATTCAACTTTAAGGGAAAATTCGCTCTCTAGTTGGCATAGATTGTAAAAGCTTTTACAATTTTTGTACTGTCCTGCGCAACCATCAGTAAATAGATGTAATTTGGACAGATTGGAAAATTTTGTTTTTAATATTGGTATGATTAGTTGAAATATTTTGTACACATAAGTTACATTATGTGTAATGTCGTCTGATATAAAACAATAAGAAATATGTTTCAGTACACCTTTATCATCTTTATAGTATATCACTAATGGATATAAAGAACATTGTTGGGTGTTCCAATGATAGCTTTGTATTTCATCTTGGACTACAAAAGTATAATTTTCAGCAAAGTCGCCAATAATGATAATGATAATCTCAAAATCATCTTCATATTCTCCGAAAATCTCATACATATATTTGGTGAGGGTTTCTTTACCAGGACAATTATCACACTGTGCAAGCATGCATTCTTTGTTTTCTACTGAGCAAACGGTTTTCGAAAGTAAATCCTTATACTTTAGTCCAATATTTAAGGCATCTACTAGCAATATGGCATTTTGGTGATAACAACAAACACAAACAGAATGTGTACCATTTGCACCTGGCAAAATGCACCACTTTGGTCTAAGTGAAGCAAATTTTGAGTAACTTATTTGTATTTCTGGATTGTTTTCTTTGTATATACAATAGTTCTTTTAAATTACACAAAAGCAGTTTTTTTTGTTTATGGATATTCTTTTGAATGCTAACATAATCTTTTTTTCCAGACATAGTTCTACATAAATCACTTGAGTCATAAAACAATTTAACAGAATCTTCTATTTCTTTGTGTAAGACTTTACCTTTATACAATGGAGAGATAGCTAACAATCCTTTTTTATTAAAAATTTGTCTAGCCATTTTTGCTTGGTATTCTGTAACTGCAAAGTTATTTTGTACTTCTAATATCGATCAACTTGGGGGTGCCAGTGTTAGAAGTTGAACAATTGTCCTTTTGTCAGAACATAGAATTTTTTCTTTTATCAAGCTCATAATTTCATCAAAGTTTTTAGCTTTCTTTTTCATGTTATTTGTTTCATAACACAGTTTTGATGGAACATTGACTTAACTTTCAGTTTTTCTAGTAACGTTATTTACCATTTCGTTGATGCGCGCAATTTTTCGCTTTCCTTCTGAGAGAATATGCTTTGATGACTTTGAATGAGATTTTAGAGGAGATATATTAAAATTTTTGAATTCTTCATTGATCTCCTGTCTTTTTGATTTGAATGATGATATTAGAAAATCCTCATCTTGTTCCTGGCTTTGTTTCTTTTCTTTAAGATCTTCTTTTATGGCAATCTTTTGCTTACAAGGTTTGCAAAGTTTCTTCCCAGGAGCAATATTCAAACTACTTCTCATCATGACTCGTGACTCATTTATTGTAACTACTATGAGATTTTCTAAAAGTAATTGAATTGTATAAAGCTTATCTGCACAATTGTTCAAAACATTGTTTATGTTTTAAAAAATACAAATTAAAAAAGTATATATATATATATATATATATATATATATATATATATATATATATATATATATATATATATATATATATATAATATTTAAATTCTACATCTATTTACTTGTGATTTTCTTTGTATGTTTATTGAATGGATCACAACATGCTTTCTGCCATATAGGATACAATTTCAAATATTTTGTAGTATGTCTTTCACATAATATCGTTAAGTTTGATAACTCAATGTTACAGCGTAATGATATAGTTATTTTTTCTTCATTGCTTAAAGTTTCAATAACATCTTGTTGGCCATTGCATTCATTTGATGTCAATAAACCAATAGAACACATCTTATAATAAGTTACTTAGTATGAATGTATTTCCTAAAAAAAAAGGAGAAAATTGTTCTTTTCTACATAATTTTGAGTAAAAAAAAAATGAATATAGAAATAATTCAAACTTTTTCAGAATTCTTTTGTTGTATAATTTTTAAATTGATAGATATTGTTAATTTTCTTTATAAATACTAATATTTACAAACTATAGTTTTCAAAATTTTAAAAACAAATGCACTTCAATATCACACCTTGTCAGATTTTAAAAACAAAACAGGATGTTTTTTTCAGTTGTTAAGATCAAAAAACAAATTTATTATATAATTAAGACTTCCTTAAATATAACTAAATTTAATATTTTACAAAATTCTATTTGCAAGTTTTTTAAACTAATTTATTGAAAATTTGATATATCTTTAAAATTATAGTTACATATGTTTTAGTTGTTTTTTCAGTTAGATATTATGTGCCTAGTAAGATTATAAGCAGCTGAAAATATTAACAGCAAAAAAAAAAAATTTTGACGGGGGTGTTTTGAGATATTGGGCCCCAAAGTTGGATTATAGAAACTAGTTGTTTTATTAACTTTTAAGCATGTTCCTTTTATATTTCAGCATTTTAAGTACATTTATTAAATTCAGCATCAAAAAAACATATATATTTATTTTCATATTTTTGCCATTTTTATTTCTTATTTTTTTTTAAAAAAATGTTTTTTTAATATATTTATATTTATTCTTTTAAACACCCAATAATTACATAAACTATAGGTAAAAGTATTAAAAAAAAAAAAAAAAAAAAAAAAAAAAAAAAAAAAAAAAAAAAAAAAAAACAAAGCACATTTAAGTATTTTCTTGCATCGTTCTTGGAATGTTTTCCTCCATCAGCGTTCTAAATACTTCTCTTTGTTCCTTTAAATTCCAGTGTTGGAACGATTGTTTTAAGATCGCCGCAACATTGGCCTCCAATGCTTCCTGAGGGCGTGCAATTATAATTTTCTTACCCTCGATCATAAATTGGAGCGTGTTTATATCAGCTTTCTTACACATTATCATTACCTCACCCACAAATGATCGTTGATTCATTAAAGGCATCTGAGTCCGTATAATCGAGTAACATATGGGGTTGTTTAAAAGCCTGATAAATAGATTTAACTTGTTGCGAAAAAGAATGTCTGACACAGCGTCTACTTTGAAATAAGAATGTAGATAATTTCTACTTTGCTTTGAAATATTAAAGAAGGATTTTAAGACAGATCGTCCAGCTATATCAATGCTATTTAGAAACTTATTGCTGCTTCCACACAGTTCTAATCCGTATAACAACGTTGGAACAGCTAAAGAATTAAATAAATGAACTATGGTAGCAGGCTGGCAAAAGCGAAGTCCATTTCTTATAAGACCTTTTGCAACAGATAAAAATTGCGTTACACGTTCAGTTATATTTTGTTTTTGGAGTGTTGCTGTCATTTTTTTGTTCTTATTATCCCAAAGGAAACCAAGATGTTTTAGATTGTTTTGAGGCTTGATAGGATCACCGTTAATATAAATAACGTTAATTAAAATCGAACTTATTCCAGATATTAGAAATTCAGTTTTTTCTGTATTCAGTTTAATAAAGTTCGATAGTCCATACTTTTGAACAATGTTAATAAGGCTCTGAAGACCAGATATAGTGGAACTTTGTAAAACTATATCATCAGCATATGCAATGATACCTGTGTATATACCATTTATTGAAGTTCCAACTTTTGATTCTGAAACAATTTTCTCTAGAAGGTTCTCTGTGTAGATATTGTAGAGATGAGGCGACAGTATGGATCCTTGACGCACTCCCTGAGACAGTCTAAATTTGTTTGATGTACATCCAAGATATGATATATTAGAAGTTCCTGTTTGATATAGTGATAATATTGTATGAACTATAGATAATGGGATTTTTTTCTGGTAATAGAGTTTCTCGAATAGTAATTCCCAATTACAACTGTCAAAAGCTTTGTTGGCGTCTAGACTGCATATATATAGCGGTGAGTTATTATGATTATAGTGCTTTATTGTTTCACTCAGAAGAAATTCTGCGTGGAGGGTAGAGCTGTTTTCTTTAAAACCGAATTGATGGGAATGACTTTCTGTTATATCTGGACATATGTGTATGATAAGATATTCGAGAAGTTTTGTAAAAATTGGTATAATGCTGATTCCTCGATAGTTATTTGGATTTTCTAGTGATGTTTTATAAGACTTGACTAATGGGATAATTTTGGCGGTTGATAAACCGTGTGGAACCTTTCCATTTGTTAACATATTGTTATAAAACGACGAAAGTAAAATAAGAAGATTCTTGTTGTGAGAGTTTTTAAGATGTTCAGCACTGATTTCATAGCAATCGTAAGATTTATTATTTTTAAGCTTTAAAATACATTTTTCAATATCAGCTGTCGAGATAACTTTTGAATTAGGCTCTTTACTTAAATGTGGAATTTGGAGAGGATTGAACTCGTTATTTGTATATTGCGGTGTATTAAGTAGTTTTTGGAAATGATGACTAAATTCTTCGACGATTTCGTTTTTGTTCTGCAATTTATTAATTGTAAAGAGTCGATTGTTAGTATTTTTTTTGATTTTTTGAATATTACCCCAAAACCTTTGAGGATTTGTATTGCGTAAGTGTTCTATATTTTTAGTTTTTTCGTGAATTTTTTTGTTATGTGCCGCTTTTACAGCTTTACGAAAGTTTTTTCGGGAATAAATAAATCTTTTGTAGGATATACATTCTGTTGACTTATTATAACCTGATTTTTGCCATTGTCTAAAGTGAAAGGAGAGATTATCTTTAATTTTTTTAAGCTCAGGTGTCCACCAAGGTTTCGAGTACTTATAAAATTCTTTTTGTCCGAAACATTGTTTAACTGCCAAGAGAGCTGCATTTTTTATATATAAGCATGTTTTTTGAATTTCTTCTTCTATTTTATCTTCCTTAAATGCGTAACTAGTAAATGCTTTTGATAGATTGAGATTATAAAAGTCAATAAACCTTTCGTTATTCCATGCATGTTTTGGTATTGAATTATATTTTTGCATTATATTATTTATTTCGTGTGATAAGCCGGTACCTTCAAAGTTAATATTCGTAGACACCGGAAGGTGATCACTAAGGTTAAGCGGTGAAGATTGCATAACTTGACAGTTTGTAAAACATAGTTCTGTCTGTTTATAGGATGCAATATGGTCAATGTAAGAAGAATTAGAAAGAGTTTTATGTTGATAGGTATAAGTAGGCCCAGCACCGTTGATTATATCGACAAAAGCGAGCTGATTTGATTCAATAAAATTAGTGAGATGTTTTGAGAAATTGTTCCTAGTTTTGTTTTTACGAAGCTCTGAATCATATATTTTATATGGAAATGACTGAAAGTCTCCGGAAATAATACATTCTCCTTCATCCTCATAGTTGTTCATTATTGAAGTGATTGTTTGTAACTGAGAAGAGTATTTTGCGTATGATTCGTTATTATTACGACAAGATGAAAGGTAAACACCAATAAAAATTAAGTTACGATTGTTAAGTGTGCCTTTAATAGCAAGAATGTTTTCATCTTCATGTATTATGTAAAAAGACGACAGTTTTTTTCGTACCATAAAAGCATTTCCTCCATATGGTCTACCGTGTGTATTTTTTTCTGCCGCATGAAAAAAAACTTTGTGTGTTAGTAATGCAATGTTATTTAACAAAAAACTCTCAATATTTAAAAGCCAATGTTCTGATATAAAAATAATATCGAAAGACTTTAACAACTTAGAAATATAATATGAATTCGATTTAAAGCTTTGACAGTTATATGCACATAGCGTAATATTTGTGTTAGTTACATTTAATTCTTTTTCTCCCATTATGATTTCAATTTTTATTGTTGCATAAATGCTGAAGAGTGGTGTAAGAATTGTGGCAAATGATTTTCGGTATTTTGATGTGGTTTTTCGATTGTTTTTAGAATGTTATGAAAACCGGGTCATTTTGGGAAACCAGGTCAATGTTAAAATTGCAGTATCTGCTGTCAACCGCTTAACATTTTTAGCTAAAATTTTATGTTTTAACTTTTTTATTAAAGATGCAACAGCCAAAGAAGTTTTTAAAAAATTTGAGGAACCATGGTTCAAAATTTCCTAAATTTTGGGTGATTTGATGTGGAATTACCCATTTCTTATCTTAAGAAAATAAAAAAAAGTATTTCTAAATGAGAAATACAATTTTGTTGTATACATTATTTAGTCAGTTTGTTATGTTTGTTAATCTATATATTTAAGTTGATTGAATATTTATTTACTTTTTTTTTTTCTTCTTTCTGTAATCATTTAAGCTTCAGTTATGTCTAAACTGCAATATTAGTTTTTATTAAGTTAAAATTAACTCTGTTATGTTTGTTAATCGTTTTAATTGTGCTCCCTTATGTTATAATTATTCATCATTTTATAGTTATATATTTTTTACTAGTTTAATACGACGGCGTGAAACTGTTTCTGCTCCGTTAGTAAGTACTTCCTATGGTGCTATACAGCTCCCAGCAAATGATGTAAGTAGTTGTATTGTTTTTTTACAATAATTAATAAAGATTGTTAATGAAGTAGTTTATTATTATATAAATAATAAAATTGTTTATATTAAAATATTATTTATTATTAAACTTAAAAATCCAAATTGTTTGCGTTTTTAGTTAGTTATATTGGATTTTTTTTATAAGTGTTATTTTGTAAGCGTTTTTAGTTAGTTATATTGCTCTACTTAACCAATTGCTTTTTAATGTTTGGCTAAAAAGTTTTAAATCAGATATTTTGTTATCACGGAAAAAAACACATACTGAAACTTTTTAGTCCCTGTGTCATAAGGTTTAACAAATTCACATCAAGAGGTAATCCACTGTTATTCAGGGTGGTAGCCCTCTTAGCTCCTGATTGGAGGTAATCCACTGTTATTCAGAGTGGTATCCCTCTTATTAGTAAACAGAATAATATTATTAATGGCAATAATATATCAATGGCAAAATAATATTATCAATTATAAATAATATTATCAATGGCAAAAGAAAAAGAAAAGTATTTTGAACATAATCCAATATCTGCACTAACAAACTGGCCAAAAATGGCTGGTCAACCATCAGAAACAACTACTAGACATGACTGTTGGATTAAGTCACTCGCAGCAACAATTAAATTTCTCACAGAGAAAATATCAACACTTGAAACGCTCTTAAACTTGAATTAAAACAAATTAAAGAGCATCCGAAAAAAATGAAATAATTTGTGCTCTTGGTTACGCTAGATTCTTAGTTGATACAAAAGTATATAATGGCTTAATTGTGACAGGAGACTTTAACTTTCCAGGCATAACTTGGCAATCTGACTGGAGTATCACATCTGACAATGAAAATAGTCTTGAATACAGGTTCAATGATGCTCTCTGTAACAACCACCTCTACCAGCATGTCAAATGTCAAACTGATGGAAATCTTAGCAACACACTTGATCTAATTATATCAGAATCAAAAGATAGAATCAACAAAGTTTTAACAAGACCTTGTCTTGGTACAGCCTCTCAAGGGCATATATCTTTTAGCTGGAAACAAACGGACTAATGTTATCATCACCCATTGACTTATTTCCATCAAGCATATTTAGGTGTTTGAGAACAATGTTTTATTTAATTGCTCTATCTGAAGTTAAAACATTTGTTTTGTCACAATTTAAGCAGTAGTAATCAAAATAGTTTTAACAGTAAAAAATTCCTATATAAATATGGTAAATATGATAAAATAAACACTTTTATAAATAACATAAATTGGCAAGCTAGATTTATGGATCATAATGTTGAGAAATGTTATTCCATATGGTCTAACCTCTATATTGAAGCATGCCATAAGTTTATTCCAAAGGTATCAAAAATACTGCCAAAAAAAAGAAACCCTGGATCACAAACAAATTAATGAAGCTAATTAGACTAAAAGAAGAGCTCTGGTACAAAAATGCAAACTCAAAGTGGAAAAATGCAGCACATATCACAGAGTATACAGCTGTCAAAAAGAAGGTCAAAAAAAATAGTAAATAAGCATTACATGTCTATGAGTCAGAGCTAGCTAACGACAAGCACAGTCCAAAAAGACTATTTGCATATATTAATAGTAAACGGATAGTGAGCAATCAAGTATCAGCCTTAATCTCAGATTCAAACCAAATGAGCCGTGATGGAATAACAAAAGCAAACATTCTCAACAACCAATTTCAATCAGTTTTTACAAAGGAACCACTGACCCAGCCACTAAAACCTTTAGCATCCAAAACAAATGTTTTAACTTCAGATAGAGCAATTAAATAAAACATTGTTCTCAAACACCTAAATATGCTTGATGGAAATAAGTCAATGGGTGATGATAACATTAGTCCGTTTGTTTTAAAAGCATGTGTTAGGTTCCGCTAACTTTGATTTTTCTACTTTCAATAAAATCTAGAAAGGTTCCACTATCTTGGCCCAGAGCTAATGTTACACCTATTTATAAAAATGGTAGCAGAACAGATCCAGCCAATTACAGGTCCATATCGCTCACTTCTGTTCCATGCAAACTTATGGAAAAAATAGTTAGTCAAGTAATAATCAATCATTTGGTAAATAACAAATTGCTTTCCGAAACTCGACATAGTTTCGTTTTAAAAAAGACTTGCATCACAAATCTTTTAGAAACAATGGACTTTTTGGGTTTTAACAAATCAAAGAAAAAACTAGTCGACCTAATTTTTCTTGACTTTGCAAAGGCATTTGATAAAGTTTCGCATGTAAGATTGCTGCAAAAGCTTGAAATGTATGGTATAAATGGCAATCTTCTAAACTGGATAAAAGCCTTCTTAACAAACTGCAAGCAGCGTGTTATCTTTGGAGAATCAAAATCTGACTGGATTGATGTAACTAGCGGGGTTCCCCAAGGTTCTGTGTTAGGACCAATGCTCTTTGTCATATTTGTTAATGACCTGTCAATTCATGTCAAATCAGCTATTTGCAAAATGTATGCAGATGACACAAAGCTCATGAAAGTTGTTGAAAATGATGAAGACCGAGCAGGTTTTCAATCCGATCTAGACGAGATTGTTAAATGGACGCAAACCTGGCTAATGGAGTTAAATGTAAAAAAATGTAAAGTTATACATGTAAATTCTGGAACAATAAAATTTGATTACATTATGGATGAAATCAAAAATGACAGTACAACCAATAGAGTAGTTTTAGAAGTCACAAATTCTGAAAAAGATCTCGGAATTCTAATCTCGGAAAATCTTAAATATGATCAACAGTGCAATATAGCTGCAAACAAAGCAAATAATGTGCTTGGAATTCTTAAACACACATTTGTATCAAGAGACATTGACATTTGGAAAAAAATTTATACTGCATATATTAGACCACATCTGGAGTTTGCCATACAAGCCTGGAACCCTTACCTTCATAGTGACATAAAAAAAATTGAAAAGAAACAACGCAACGCCACGAAAGTTCCTCATGCTTTGAAAAATAAAGACTACAAAACTCTATGTAAAATCATGAAATTAACTACTCTTGAAGACAGTCGGAAAAGAGGCGATCTTATTCAAAAATACAAGCTTCTCAACAATTTAAACCTAATTGATTGACACGTAATGCCTGGCAGCATAGCACCCAGAGCTCAACACCGAATCAGATTTCATCACGAGATTATAAGGAACTGTGAAATCAGACATAAGTTTTTTAAAAACCAATAAGTTAATGGGTGGAATGCTTTGCCAGATAATGTCATCGAGGCAACATCACTTGATAAATTTAAACAACTACTAGAGAGTAGTCAGTCATCATAGTTGCTACAACTCATCATTTACCATAAATGCCACACAAAAGTGGCCGAAATGTGAGTTGGGTATAGATGCGTATACTCAGCTGATGATGAGTTTAACAAGGCTGTGGCTTTGTGTAACTTAAATTAACTAACTTATCAAAGTTCAAAAAAGTTAATGTTAATAAATATGAAAAGCAAAAAAAAATTTTTCAAAAACTCTGTTATGCGAATGCGTTAAGCAATTTTTGAAATTCATAAATTCCTGAAATTTTGCTCAAAATTTCAGGAAAATTTTCAAAATTTTTTTATTGCAATAAACTTATAGTTATTAAATAGTTTTATAAAATTTATTTCTTTATTTCAAAAATATGCATTTTATCATCGTTGTATTTGGGTATTCTTGAAATATTTCAACAGAAAATATAAAATAATAAAGACCCACAGGTGAAAAATGCACATTTTTTTGTCAAGTTTTTATAGTCAATTAAAAAAAGGCGTATTTTTTTAAAAAAGAAATAAAACGCTCAAATTATTTCAATTAATTTAAAGCTTTTTAAAAAAGAAATAAAGCGTTATATGTTACTTTTACTTTTGTGAAACAAAAAAAGGTAGAAGTTTTGTAAGTTTTGAGCTAGTGTATAACATATTTCTAGTTTTAACTTTTGAGCTTGTGTATAACATATTTCTAGTTTTAACTTTTGAGCTTGTGTATAACATATTTCTAGTTTTAACTTTTGAGCTTGTCTATAATATTTCTAGCTCTTCTCTTAATTATGATGTAAAATATTCACAAAATACAATGAGTAAAAATTTTTTTAGATTATCAAGTTTTAATGTGTTTTATTTTTGAAGAGTGTTTTGAAGAAACAGGTTTTTTATGTTTAAAGGTTGCATACAAAGATATTTTTGGGGGGAGGGTGTGTGAGGGAATGGGGTGTTCTACCCCCACAAAGAAGGTGGTTTTTAAGTTATAGTTGGTTTTTTGACAAATTTAGTAGGCTAGTCAGGTATTTGACGCAATTCATGCTGGTAAAGTTTAGTTTTTTAGGACCTATTTTTATTTTAAAGAAACCAGTCAGTTTTCTTTAAAATAAAAATAGGTACTTTTTACGGTTTCACCCAACCTCCTCCCCCAACCCCTTGTTTTCTTATGTATTGATTTATAAAGTCAAAAGTGTCCTTCAAGGTTTCAAGGATTTGCAGCAAATTTCAAGGAAACAAGAAGGCAATATTCAACGAAATTCAAGAAGTTATACTTCCTCCTTTGTTTGATTTCTATTCTATACAAGTGAGATGTGAAACAAGAGGCATGCTGTGTTATTGACTAATCTGCTAAATTATTGGTTGTTCAAAGCTGCAAGAAAAACATTCATTTAAAGAGCAAACCACCTTTGAGAATGAACCAAATGTATGTTGCAACTCATGTCTCTGCCCTTTAGTAAAAGGTTTGCCCTACCAACGCTCACAAATAAAGTTCAGGGAAAACCTTTAATCTTTAGCAGAAAAAGATGTGAAAGCAGCCAAACAAATTGCATCTCCAGTTATTTCCAATAAAGAATTATTCCCTGAAGGAACTATTTGACTTGCTAAAGCATCTGGTGGGCCTCCACTTACAATTACCCTAGTTGTATATTTATACTAAAATTATTTTTACATATATATTCATAGAAAAACTTTAAAAAAAGAAACAAAATAGTTTTCGGGAAGTGAAACCAAGTGTTTTCACAAGTTTCGAATCACTATAAAAACATATGGTTTGAAAGTTTTAAACAAACTTTCTGAACAAAGTTTAAATAAAGATAAAATATATGTGTTTTGGTTTCAGGTCAAAACGGAATAAAAGAACTGGTCAGAGCTGTAAATCAAATATCAAGCAGCAAAATGGTAGAGCTAAGAGGCCAGGTGTCCTCATCATTCAACTGAGCCCATATCATGGATGCCAGTTCAGGGAAAATTAATGCAGAAAGCTTCTTAAAAATATGGATGTTCTCCAGCAACTTTCTGATACAATCTCGATTCCCAACATTTTTCACATAACTGAAGCATTCAAAAGTTTCAATTTAGTTGTAAAATCTTGCTTCGGATTTATCCTTTAGCTGGATTTTTCTGAAATAATTGAAAAAAGGTATTACCTAATGATAACTGGTGCAAGCGTAGCAACCAAAATTCATTCCGTCTTCTACCACATCAAAGATTTCATCAGTTGCAAAGGATCCCCCTTATGCCCTATATTGATCAAACTGTCGAAACTGCTCATCAAGACTCAAACATTGTTTAAGGTTAGTGGTGTGCGGTGTACCCAGTTCGGTTCCAGATACCCCGTAATTTGGCTGCTTTCCCAGGTATGCAGAATTTGCTTTTTTGTTGCAGTATTTGGCACCTGGTATCTTGAAAGAAATTTAGAAGAAAATATTCACCTTAAATGATGTAACTATTTGTTTTAATGGTACTTTAAACTTGGTCAAAGTATTATTAACAGGATTGCTTTTTTTTTAACCTTAAACCAATAAGCTACTTGATTAAGAGTGTTATGTTGTGGATAACAGTCTTATTATTTACTCAATATAGACATGTCTCACTTTAAATATTTTTGTGAATATATTTTTGCAAATATTCAGATTATATTACAAAAAGGAAACTGATTTATATGGATATAAAATCAGTAACGCAAAATAAAATAGTTAGAGAATATGAATGAAAATAAAGGAAAGGAAAGATTAGCTTTTATTGTTTGAGAGAATTATTTCACAAAAATTTTTTTACTAATTAAACTTTAAATGAGTTTGATACTTTGGTCTAACTAATTTGCATAATTCGCTTTTAAATACAGTATTCATTTACTTAATTGATCTAATTAAGTTCATGTTTACAATAGTTTAAAGTTAACAACTGTTTACAATGAACATGTAAAATTTTTACATGTTTATTGTCAACGATGGTTTAAAGATTTATTTAAAAATAATAATATACTTACTATATAAATATATACATTTATATAGATATATTTACTATATAAATATATCTCTTAATCTTTTATTTTTATAACATAAATTAGCTCATATTAGTGAATATTTAGATATAAATTACAAAAAATATATATTATATACAATACCACAACCATAAAACAAAAATTAGTTAGTCAGAACAGTATTTTTGAAGTTAATAGAGTTAATTTTAGTTTTAAAGATCAATGATATGTTTTTAACATTAACGATTTCAGACAACAATTTATTCCAAATATTAACAACCCTGATGGACAAACCTTATGGAGAACGAATATTTAAGGACATTGAGTTTTTAATTAGTAACATTTTGAGATTTATGTATAAAAAAACTAACAAAATATGAGCTAAAATTGCCGTAAATCCTTAAACAATAAACTAATTCAGCTGCAATTTTATCCAGAGTTTGGTGTGGTCATATGCTACAATTTTTATCAAGTTGTGGTTCTCATTCTACAGGTGTTTTTATTGTCGCACTGTGTCAAGTCAAAATTTTGCTTTTTTTCTTTGCCACTTTGTTTTAAATGATATGCTCTTTAAACCCATATTTTTGTTAGTAATTTTAAAGTTTTAACTAACTGTATTTCAAATGATATTTCCGACACTTCAATTTATGGTTTTTATATTTTTTATTGACTATTATTAATCAGCAGAGAGTAGTTAACAAAAATTAGCCAAAAAAGTTTTTCTCAAAGGAATTAACGAGTATGCCAATACATTTTAAATGAGTGTGCTAAAACTTTTGCGCGCCTAATTTCAGACATTTTTCCGAGTAGTCGTTAAACTTCTAATTAACTCAAAAAAAAAAAAAAAAAAAAAAGCAGGTTGACAAATATTTGACATTATAATCAAATTTAATTGGTTTTACCTTTCATTTAAAAAAAAAAACTAGTTCAAAATTAAAATTACTTTACAATTTATATTGATTTGAAGTTGTCTATAATAAAAAAATTACGAGTGCGCTAATACTTTCTGGAAGCACTGTATAATGTGCTAAAAATTACATACAACTAACAACTGATAATGTTTTGTAGTCATTTATAACTGTTCTGTTTTATAAAAAAAATCTTGACGTTTTTATTTTACAAGTCATACTAATAAATAGTATAATGTTCAAAATTCATGGTCTGCAAAACTGCTTAACGTTTAAAATGAGGATTGTGTTGAAAAAAATCAATTTAAGCAAGTCCATGTCATCTAACATAAAAAATGACATAATTGAGCCCTGTCCAAACTCCAATTATGTGGAAACATGATTGTTGGATGTGTTACGTGGAAACATGATTGTTGGATTGTGCGAACGTTGTGGAAACATGATTATTGGATAAAAATAGAGGATTGATTAATCCTCTATTTTTATTCAAAATTTTGTAGTTTGGTTAAAAAATCCTCAAAGTTAAATGCAAAATCTCCTCTTTTTTTATCAAAATTTGATGTGGCCGCCTTGTTATAATGCGTTTTAACTCTTTTTTAAACGATTTTCATTTATGAAATAAAAAATAATTAATTTAGACATAAGAGTTATGATAAGAAATATAATTGTTTTATAATCGTATAGAAATTTATAGTTATAATTAAGAATTGCAGTTGTAAGTTTTTTTTTTATATTCTCAAAAGACATCGAAGTCACCAAATTTACCGTTACCAACATCGTGTTGAGAAAGATTTTACCGTTATTAACACCGTGTTGCTTAATAATCGTTTCTCTTCGAGTCTGTGGTAATAAGAGTTTTTTTACAAAACCAAGTTCAGACGATATTAAAGATATCCATGTATATAAAGTGACGCATCGGAACTTAATAAGTAGTTTCATATATATATATATATATATATATATATATATATATATATATATATATATATATATATATATTATATATATATATATATATATATATATATATATATATATAATTCGACGCACTATCAAGCACACTTTAAATATAGTTTGTGTATTATGTAAAATCATCATCAAGAAAATCTTTTATTAATAAAGAAAACATTTATTTACAAGCTGATCCTATATGATTGTTATTTTAGCTTTGCATTTTTTCACCTTTTTCTGTCTTTTTATGCTAACCTTAAAACTGATTTTTTTTTTTTTTTTTTTTTTTTTTTTTTTTTTTAAATGTTGTGTACACTGAATTTATTTTGAACATAAAAGGTTATGTCGAAATTTTTGTGAATGTTGTGTACACTGATTTTGAAATCTTGAAACTAAAATATTTTTTTAATAAATTTGTAATTTTGTAAATGTAAATTTTTCATAATAAAGCAATATGTTGGTATTTATCTATGTAATTATAATTTCTTATAGTTAGATCATTTTTAAATAATTACTTCAAAATAAATAGTGTAAAAAATTTTTTTATTTAGTTTCAATATTATTCATTATCGTTTTATTTAGTTTTAACAATCGCTTTTTTTTTCCAAATTTGCCTAAAGGTAAATTTAAATGTATATTTTTTGTGTATAGATAATTAAAAAAAAAATGTGTGGTTTTGTAGCAAGTAAAAACTTGAAGAAAAAATTAAAATTATTTCAATTTAATTTTTTCTCGGGTAACATCTTTTAAAAGTTTACGTAAAAAAGTTGTTAAAATTTCAACTAATTTTTTAATGAATCAATATTTTCATACTATTAAATTCATATTACAATTTAACTTTTTTCATTTTCATGTCTCTGCAATTTTAATCAATTTAAAATGTCTTGTTTTTTCTTGCTTATTGGTCGTTTTGTATTTTTATTTGTGAAGAATAAGCTCCAAAATGTGTTGGAAAAAAAATTATTTCAAGGTTAAATTTAAAATGATTATTTACGCATTTTATTGCAGAAGTTTAGAATAAAATTCAAATAAACAAATAAAATATATATTTTGCAGCAAAGTTATTTAAATTCTCCTTTGTCTAAAATTGCATTCCGCGATTTTTAAAATGTTCATTTTTAATTTCTAAATAAATATTTGTATAATGGCCCTTTTTTTTATTCGGATGAAAAATGAATTTCGGTTAAATATAGTGTTGTACAATAACATACTAAAGATTTCTTGCTTTCTCTAATATATACCAGACCATACACTATAGTATTTATATGTGTTGCTACCATTACCTTGTATATATTAGGGTTCATAATCATAAAACAGTTTGGTTTTCAGCAAGTTCCTTGTAAATTTTCAAATAATGGTTTAAAACTTAGTTGCAAAAAAATATATAGTGGTGAGCCAAAAATAAGGTTTGGAAATATTTACATATATATGCTCCACAATGTTTTCTAGTAGAAATTAATCGCAAAATCTAATAGAAAAAAATGTAAAACGTTTTGGTTGCAACCTTTTTCCCATGCAAACTCTTTCCCAGTGTTTTTGAAATACTACGGTAATTTTGATTTTTTCTAACAATGTTCAAACAATAATAAAATGCAAAAAATATTTCATTTACGTGAAAGGGAGATGAATTATTAATAAAAAATACATGTTTAAGCCAAACAAAATGTGTAAAGTACAATTTATTTGACTCAACTATATAAAGTACACTTTGTTTGAATCAACTATATAAAATACACGTTGTTTAACTTAACTATATAAAGTAAACTTTGTTTGAATCAACTACATAAAGTACACCTTGTTTAACTTAACTATATAAAGTACACTTTGTTTGACTCAACTATATAAAGTACACTTTGTTTAACTTAACTATATAATGTACACTTTGTTTAATTGTTCTCAGTACTTTTTTAACTTAACAGTTAAACAAGGGCTGAGAAGACATCAAATTCAAAAGAAAGTTAACATGCCTACAGAGTCGAATACCAGAGAAATGAAGTCAAAGCGTGATTTTCCTGAAAAGTTAGATTATGATTATGTTATTTAACTTACTTTAAAAATACTAAGAGTGCATTTTTTTTTTTTTTTTTTACGATTGTTTTGCTGTTTAACAAATAATCAAACAAATATATATAGGAAAGAAAGAAAAACAAGAAAGAAAAAATATGTCCGTAGAACAAAAAAGACAGTAAAATCTTGTCAACAAGCACCATTATTGTATATAGAGTATAAAGTATACACTATTCTTTTTACAATGATCTTTATAAAATAAAGAAGTTAAACAGACAGGGGTTCAAAGAAGATAAAGATGACAATACGTCATCGCAATCTTTTTATAGAGCCCCTACATACACTTTTCATAGAATATAGGTATTAAATTAAAAACCCGATTGTAAAAATATTATAAAACTATTATAAAACTGCTGCGCTGATCAGTAAATCAAATAAAGATAAAATATAAAAAAATTAGAAAATAAATAAAATTCCTTGGTGATTCCTTTAAGCACAAAAAATTCTCAAATTTTAAAAACTTCTTTTTTTATTAGAAACTTAAATGAACTTAATAACTTTGCCATACATTTAAATCCTTTTTGATAACTATTCCATATATTTGGTCCTCGATATGCAATGCTATATTCAGTATATTTATTAAAGTTTTGAGGCAGTTTATATGTGTTTCTTATATTTGTTCTTAGATAATAGTTTTCATTTATGTTTATTTCAAACTTGTTATTAAAGTTTGCAGGAGAGATATTAAATTAATACATAAAAATTAAATGCTGATAGATATTTATTTCAAAAACATCCATCATTTTCATATTTTTCATTATAGGTTTAGCATATTCACGCTTATTTTTATAGTAAATGATTCGGCACGCATGTTTTTGTAGACTATAAATTTATTGATATATGAGCGAACTATCAAGTTCGCTCATTCCAATTGTATTAGTGATTTTACATTGAATATATCTTGTTTGAGGAAGCCAGGACAACTTCTCATCAACAAATATTGCTAAGAATCTAATACTGGCTTGTTTTTTGATTAAGTTATCATTTAATATAAGGTCAGGCAACTTAAGAGGAAGGTTTTCTTGTGTTTTTTTGTAGAATAATATATAGTTTGTTTTTTCTGTGTTAAGTGAGAGTTTGTTAGCTCTAAACCAATTATTTACTTTATTTAGCTCAATATTCATATCTGCATATAATTTCTTCATATCATTGAAATAGATTTGTACCATCAGCAAACATGACTGAATGCAGTTTTAAGATGCATAGCAAAAATCATTTATATAAATTAAAAGCATGGACCATGGATAGATATACCATAGCGCTTTAGTTTATCTAATAGGATGGAGTGGTCAACTGTATCAAAAGCTTTTTATAGGTCTTTAAAAAATCCTAAAGTAAATTTGTTTTGTTTAAACCCATCATTTATTTGATTAACTAATTCGATGATTGCATGCTCTGTTGAAAGGTTTTTTCGAAATCCAAACTGGTTTGGGTAAAATAGTTTGTTTTTAGTGAAGTGATTATAGAATCTATTATAAATTACACGTTCGAAGAGTTTTAAAAATACAGAAAGTATTGGTATAAGTCTATAGTTGGTTATGTCCGAATGTTCATTACAATTAAATATGGGGAATACTTTTGCTAACTTAAGGACATCAGGGAAAATCCCAGATGTTATTGAGAGCTTTAGTATATGGATCAGAGGTCTGCTTAGACTAGTTTTATTAAAGATAATTAAATCAGTTATTTGGTGCTTTCTTTTTTTTAAAGAGGAAAAGGCTTCTTCAAATTCTTTATAGTTAAATTCCTTATGGTACATGATAGCGTTATTTGTGGGTTTTAGGTGGTTTCTAAATGAATCAGATGTTGGAATTATTTTGTTAGCAAGATTTGGACCAATATTTATAAAATATTTGTTAAATTCTTCGTATATTTGTTTTTTACAGAATATATCTGTATTGTTAATATTAATTCCTTTTTCTTTCCCATTATCTCATTAATGATGGACCATGTTTTCTTACTATTAGATTTGCATTTTATGATTTCATTGCTGTAGTATTTAATTTTTGCTTTTTTAATAAGATTTTGGTAAAAATATTTATAGTTTTTGTAATTTACCTCATTACCAGTGTTTTTTTTTTTTAGAAATTAATTATAGAGTTTTTGCTTCTTTTTGGAGCATTTTAAGAGTGTTTTATCCATCTACGGATTAGCAACTACTTTTGTCTTAATTTGTATTCTTACAATAACAGGGTTATGCGGAAATATAAATTTTTTATGCGAGAAAAAAAAATACTTTTTGCGGAACTAAGTTATTTTATGCGGAAATATAAACTAAATGATGCAGAAATTTTACTGTGGTGCATCTCAATATATATCTATATTAATTTTTATTGGATAGATCCAGTAAAAAAATCTTTTTTAAATTAAAAAAAAAAATACATTTTTTATTGATAACCAATTTATATACCTTAATAATGAAAAACAAGCGAGAAAAAAAAGAACTACTTTAACAGCTCTAGCAGTTAAAGCCGAATTTGGAATTGTCGTATAGCTGTGTTTTGAAAAACGCAAACAAAATGCTCGTAAATTACCCAGATTTTGAACCTAACAATTGAAATAGAAGAAATTGTTCTGTAAGAAACGCAATCTACACTGTGATCAACAGAGATAACTAACTAACGTCAGCTGGAATATGTGATAATCTGGCTGAATCGGGCTTTCATGTGTCTCAGACGTTTGTTTCTAGGCAACTTAAAGTAATGAAAATAACAAAAAAGTGTTTATCACTGGTTCCACAAGAAAAGAACAATATACGAGATCTTGATTCAAGACAGAGTTATTATTCAACATACATCAACTTCAAAATTAGTTTTTTTTTTTTTGATAAAACAGGGTTCAACCTCCAAACCTCCTCTTATTATGAACATGCTCCAATAAACAAGAAAGCATGTATAACGGTTCCAGTTAATAAAGAATAAAATATAAGCTTTATGGCA